TCACATAGTCAGGAGAATAACCAATTGTAGGATCTGGCCTCTTTTATGTATTGGAATTATAACTTACATAGCAATAAATTTCTTCTGTACAGTATCTTCCAGAAAGCCATAAATGAGTCACCTTGTCAAGCTTTACACCTCTGAGGTACAAAATACTACCCCTTTCTTCTTACTTCTTCTTTTGTATTTATATTCCTTGCTTTATATAGTATAAGATGAGAGAAAATGGCCTCTGAAAATGCAACTATTTGCCTTTTAAGACTCCGCTCTTGGGCAGATGTGTATTCTGAATGTAATGCATGAGGCTTTAGCTTCACATTATCATACAACTAATTGAAGTAGCACAGCTAGAGCTCTTGGCATAAAAATAAAAATATATACAGATAAGACTGATTTATAGACAAGCTAACTTCCTCTTGTGCAAAAATGCCATGGATTTTTTACAGATAAATAGTGTATATTTGCCACTTTTGTAAATCCATTTCTTTATATAAAAAGAGTTGGCCATATAAATTAGGTGTTGCTCATAATCCCAGCTTTGTTCCAAAAGAAAATTAAAGAAAACAAACAAAATTTTAGATCCTTTAGAGAAGATTGGGGTGGAAGTAAAACTTCATAGAAGCCAATATTTTATTTTTAAAACAGAGGGAAAAATGAGTTGGCATCATTGATGCTTTCCTAAGCAGCTCGCTGTTTCAATACTGGCTGCTTCTTGATTGCTGACTGCCAATTTGCTGCTTTGCTGGCACACTGCAGGAAATTAAAGTAAACAGTGTGATCACAGTGTTTACTTTAACTTTGCAAAATACGGAAGGAAAATGAAGCGGTGCTGTTTGTTCCAGGAGGGTAGGCAGGCAAGCAGGAAAAGTCTGAACACAATATCTCTCCCAGATATCCCTGCACAATATTCCCTTGTAAATGTCACTTGCAAATAATACTGCAAAATTAGTCTTACTTGTAAAATAGTTACAGCTCTTCCAGAAATAGTGAGCAGGGACTTAGGCTATCGGGGAAACTTTGTACTGAAGCAAGGCATTGACTCTTTCTGAAGTGCAGTGCAGGAGGATTTATCATTTTCCAGAGGCAAAAAATGCATCAGTGCAAAGTGGTATTTTATATCAAAATACAGAATCCCTGTTAGAACACAGGGCAATTTGTGTAAACTCAGCTGAATCAAATTGAAAGCCTACTCAATATCTGAACACAAACATATTTTCTTGTTTTACTGAGGGTCATACGACCAACTCTCTGGCTTTTGCCAGCTGTAAAAAGGAGTTTTCCTGTGATACATCAGCTCCTTGCTCTAAGGTGATGTCACTGTGTCCCACCATCGACCTTTACTGC